TAATTACTGAGAGAGTTCAGCTGGTGTCTTTGCTTTCCATGCCTTTTTACACCTCCCTTTCTTCATGTGTTCAATACTTTTTCCCTGTGCCATTCCACATTATTACAAATAACTTCATTTCTGGACTTTTATGGTTTTATTTCTTTGCATGTATGGATCACTTGGGTTGTTACCGACAACTGGTGAAAATTTCATGTCATTAGCACCTCTAGTAATTTATTTACCTAAAATGGTGACGTGTTCAATACTTATTTTACCTGCTGTATGTAAAAAATGTGTATTTGCTCAAGAGATAAATCTATAAGCAGTCTGGGAACTTTTCATTATAGGTTTTTGCTGCCTCAGTGACCTCAGTGAGATGTTGTCTAGAGGTGGGCGATACTGGGAATTTTGGTATCGATCCAATACCAAGTAAATACAGGGCCAGTATCGCCGAAACCGATACTTTTTAAGCTTCATAATTTCAAAAGGTCCAAAAGATCTAGGATAGAATTTCGCCAAACATTGTAGGTGACAACAAAATACTTTATTGTAACAATCAGAATTTTTGCTTGCCAACAATAGAGCAGTAACAAAACAGTTTCCTTTAACATTAGGAAAATAAATCTTTTATACAAAAATTTAAAAAAAATTCTTCCCTCACTGCCTACTCGGTGAGAACGCTGAGTGGGTGGGCCAGTTTGAGCCTACCTGCTTAGCTTAGCTGTTTGGCCAGCGCTGCTGAGCCACGTGACGGTGCAGCAACAAAAGACGAGAGGGGGGAGGGTGCGCTCGCTGCTCCATGTGTATGACACAGCGCAGCACTACAGACAGTAAGTAAAAGTAAGTAAAGTTTTATTTATATTGCGCCTTTCACAGAAATAAATTCACAAGGTGTTGTACATTCAGGGAAGGGGGCAGCGGGCAGTTAAGACAGGCCATGCAGCAAACACAGTTGCGCTACCTTAAAAACAACAGAAAAACTAAAAACAACACAAGGGAAGATGAGGAAAAAAGCAAAACCATCATATTATATCAACACTGTGACACACTATGGTGTTTATGAAAAAACTCTGTATAGGGCAGATTTATAAGCCAGAGGAGTAATTCAGTATATTGTATTGATATGTACACAACTTCTACTAGCTGGAGAAACATTTGACTCAGTCTTAAACAGTTCACTGCAATAACGTGGAAAAATGTTTCACACACAAATAATATTGGTTTAAAATGATTTTATTTACAACATTCAGAACATGTTCACAATTTCAGGAATGAACTGTTTCAAGTTGCTTGTGTCTCTTTACTCTTTACCTCGCTTCCTTATTTAAAGCAGAAATCATCTGAACAGCCTTCAGCTGGTTTTCACTGAGGAACAAGACGTAGAAAACAATCAATAAAGAAATTTACACCAAGACACAATAAAATAACAATAATCCAAAAACATACATACAGATATGCATGTGTACATTTTTTTCGCTCTCCCCTGGTGTTTAACTTACCTGAAGTCATACTGCTCTCCAGATTTAGATATTTGTAGCCCCACACCGCAGCAGAAACTTGCAGCACTGCTTCTTCACATCAACTATTCCAATTTCCAAATTCTACCAAACTCATAGTTCCTCTGTGTTTACAGTCATTTATTAAAGACGTGTAAAGGTGGAAATGTCTCTCAGCCTCATGCGCCAATAAAGACAGCAACTTCACCCATGTGCGTGTCCACACACACACACACACACAAGTTTGCACAGCTATCCAATTGGGGACATTCCATTGACTTCGATTACATTTCCACAGCCTAACCCTGACCACAAACCCTAAGGCTAACCTCACAGGTACCTACCTGACCCTACAACTAACCTAAACACACAATGGTCCTAAACCGAACCCCCAACCCACCAATGGCATTTAAATCAAATGAGGACTCGACTTTTGTCCACCAGTTGTCCCCAAATGTAGGATTTTTGTCTTAAAATTGTCCCCAAATGTCACCAAAGCCGAACCAACCCACACACACACACACTGAAATACACATCTGAGTTATGCAGTATATTTATCCCTTTGCAGATGAGAACATCACATTAGTGAGAATTAGTTTTGTAAACCAGATTTTATTCCCGTGTTGCTGCTTCCACCGTGTGGTGAATTTTAGTACTGCCTGATTTTATTTACCACACAGGATTTTTTTGTTGTTGTGTTGTTAAAAGTGTGATTGTACACATTTTAACTGCTTTTCCCTTGTATTTATTTTACCAGTAAATTATATATGTTTTGTTAGACACTTTTAAAAGCTGGTATTAAAAGTTTATCGCTGCAAAAAAAGTTTTATTATTACTTTTTCCATTATTTCAAGACAACAAATTCCATATTGTAATAGTTGGCTTCATTTCTGTCATCTTTAGATATTGTTGGGTTCATCTTGTTCAGTTTGTTGATTTTAAGTTTTTGATTTTCTGTTGTCTGATGTTTTGTGTGGTGCAGTTGTGCACTCGTGTCAAGTCTGGCTTTTCTTTATACAGTTTAAATGCATAGGTGCTAGCGTCTCATCACAATAAAGTTAGTCATTTTTAGTTCTTTTGTTTTTGACATCGGAGCTGTTGTTGCATTCTCCATCACAAACAAACACATTTCTTTGTAAAACTCTTTTCTAAGAACTCCAGGTGTAAAAAGCTTCTGCGTATTCTATCTGAAAAAATAATCTCTGGTGACTCAAACATAGCAGAAACTGGTCTGAGGTTGATTATATCACTTAATCACTGACGTTTGTCTTGCTTTCAAGTGGATGGGTTTAACAACTGCAGCAGCAACTTACTTTATAATTACAGACCTGTTAAATTATTTGTTTCATTTAGATACTGCATGAGATTAAAATGTTTGTGTAAAATGAAACTGTCAAAGCTGCAGGAAAGTCACAATGGTTAATATGTGATGCATTTTTTTTAAGACAAGCAGATTTTTTTAGTTTCAGAATTCAAACTTTCACAAACACTTTAACTCACTGGCAAGAAGTCAGCGGCTGCAGTGAACAAGACAAAATAAATTAATTGTTTAACACTAATACTGAGTCTTAAGTTTACTTTTAGCCCTGAATGTAAAAGTTATCAGGATAAATCTAACCTTCAGATGGATTCATTATTATTATTGAAAATATCTAATGAAATAATGAACTGACAGCATGGGTTGTTTGTGTTTGCATGTGTGTGTAGGCCTACTTATTTTTGTTACCTTTTTAGGACTGTTTCTGGTATACACACCTACCTTGTCAAAACCAGTAGTCCTAATGGGGACCAAAGACCAGCCCTAATGTTTAAGTTGAGTCTACCTTGGGGGCTAGGCTGTAGAAATTACTGGAAATAAATGGAAGTCAATGAACGGTCCTAATAAGGATAGAAATACAAAATTGTGTGGGTGTGTGTATGTTCCGGAATAGCTTTTGGTTTTGGTGTGCCACCCCAGGATTATCAGTTTCCTCACATCTGTTCTTATAAAACCTGCCTCGGCATCCTGTAAGGGCTTTTAGTTAAAGAATGAGTTTGGAGTTAATTTATTAGCTAACAAAAACTGGACAAATAAAACTAAAACAGTTTTTTTATTTAAAGATTAATACAGACTGACATGACTGAAAGTTTCAACATTCATCTGTGAAATTACGTATTTATGGCTACGTACACCAAATAGAAAAGAAATGCTTTGCAGACAATTATTCATGAAATTTATGCATTTTAAGATTTGCATGTTTCAAATACAAAGTGATCTTTGATATTCTAAAGTGTAGTTTTTTTTAATCAATTACATGATGCAACCAAACTTGTTCTAATGAAGCCAAGTAATTAACATATTTGGCAAAAAATATGCTGTGCCTGAGCACTTAATTTTCCTGCAGAGGTGGAACAAGCACAAATTGTTGCAGCCTGGGAATAAAACCCTGAAGAATTGAAGCGTCATCCTGTTGGCTGAACCGTGTAGTCGTCAGGTTGGTTTTTGAGGAAGTGGCCTTCACTGTGTACAGAGAGGATGAGGGGAAAACAGGTGTGAGCTGCAGACTCTGACACAACAAAGACTCATCTGGACATGGATTATTCTGAAATGTGATCCCAGAGGAGCGCAGCTCTCTTTAGTCCCTTTAAAACTCAGACAGGAGGCTGGTTTTGGCAGCCATGGGAACACTACAGTCCTCGCAGGGGCACTCAGAATACACTGATCTGGCGGAAAAAACTGGCTGTAAGTACTCTATTGATGTTTGAAGATGAGAAACAAGCATTTCTTTTTACAAAAGCTACTGTATGTGCAGTAAAAAATACAGTTCATTTAATTCTAATTTAAATTGAGTCCTATAATTTTTTAAAAAGTGGTATTAAATGGGATTTCTGAAACTAAAAATAGTCGCTGTGACTTTAAGGCGTAAATAAACCCATGTAGACTGTAAATCAGTCTGTTTGGTGCAGTGGCTATAAATAATTCACTGTGAAAGTTTACGGAAGTGTAACTGTACCTCCTCTTCACTGGGGGGATGGTGTTAATATTAGATATTTATTGGTGCTTTATTATTAAATATGACCTTTTTGTTTGGCTCTGACTACCTGTAGCCTGTGGTAGACAGGAACCAGAGAGGTTTGCATATGATATGAATAAACAAATGTACTGAAAGCCTCCATTATCCACCAAAGAACTGGGACTGATCAGCTTTTAGTCACACGAAAAAGAAAAGTGAACCTCTTTTAAGCTCCATTATATCTAAACAGCTTAAATTTGGTCTTTACAGTTTTATTAGGTTCATAAAGGAGTCAAATACAGAAAAATACACAACCGATTTTATTAGTTGTTAAATAAAAATGAAGCCAAAATGGAAAAACTATGTTCAGCCTCATTCTGTTTTCACGTTGGTTCTGTTTAGCTGTTTGTGATCGTTGACTTGTTGCATCATGACCTAATTTCGTCCTCAGCTGTCAGACAGACAGGCCTCACTGACTGTAGGTCCTGCAGCTGCAAAATAAGCCCAGATCATGGTCTCTCCACCACCGTGCTCAAACAGTGGGTTCTAGATGTTTGTGCCATGATGCCGGTGCTGTGAGTTATGGGTAACATCGCTACTTTGGCCACATCTGTTGAAATAATGTGGCACAGGAAGTGCTGTGGTTCATTCAGATGCAGTTTTACTATAATGCTGCCATGTTGGTTTCAGTTTCATAACTCTCACTCATTTGATCATTTTCTTGTTGTATATTTATGAACTTCAACAGTTTGTTGCTTTTGTTTTGAGAGTTGCACAGTCCGACTTTGGGGTGACTAGGTTACAATATTCATGCTTTGGAAACTTTGAATGCTGCTTAAATGATTTGAAATGTTCATTTAACCCTTCCCAAGTTGAAGGGCAGCAGCAACATTTGCTTCTAAGTCCGTTGTTGATGTCTCTCCATCTTCGCACTGTTAACTCACACCTGTTTGCTGCAGAGCTGCAAAAATGTCTTTTATTTCTTATTTAATGATTATTTTAAATGTCAAAGCAGCATGTGTGAATTTCGTTTTTCACTTATTTTTTCCATTTAGTTTCATATATGTTTAGTAAATGATGTGATAGAATCTGCTGTGTTTTTTTTTTTTTTTTGTTAATTTGAGGTTAGACTCATTTCAGTTTTTGCAGGTTTAAAGCGTTGTGTGTTTTTCATTGCTTTAATTTTCTCTGTTTTCAGTTTCATTCGAGCAAATTGGGGTCCTGCATAAAAGATTCAAACAATTGAGCCACAATGAAGATATTTTACGGTAAGCTGAACCTTCAGATTTTATCGAAACACTACATGGTGGGAAATATAATCCCCTGCAGGTGATTGGTCACATTTCTTTTTTATATGAAGGAACTTTCCAGAACAAATCAGCTTTACAATTGAGCTGTAACCTGCTGGACAGGTTTCATTTAGCTCATATAACGTAACAGCCACAGTGTTTCATATGTCATCACATTGTACTCCTTTGTAATATTAAATTTCACTTTTCAGAAGGAATCACTTCAGTGAAATCCCAGATCTGGCGTGCAATCCAATCCGAGCACAAATAATTGAGGCATTCTTTGACAGAAGGTACTGTGATGAATAAAATATTTTATTTACATTTACACTTGAATAAAACAAATACTTTGGATTTCTTTACAAAATGGGATGTAACGTTTAAATCCACCAATTTATTGGAAAAAGTACAAACAACATATGTTTTTGTCTTTTTCAGAACAATAATTTATCTAAAAGGTATGTGTGTTGCTAAATTTTGCAACCACTTTTAGCCAAAACAGTTAAATTGATGACGAACAGAGTCCTTGTGCTATTTTTTTAATTGAAAAGTAATTATATGTACAAAAATAATGGTGTTCTTTATTTTACATTTTATGCAGCATCTGAACTTTAGGAAAAACTTTCCAAACCCACACAGTGCTTTATCTAAACCAGGGGTGCCCAGTCCATATCCTTGAGGGTCACCATCAGTATTGTTTTAGTTCTTTCCCTGCTTTGACGCACCTGGTTTGAATAAAGAAGTCATTATTGGGGCAGAACCTGACGATCCAAAGAAGAGCAGAGTAACAGCTAAAACCCACAGAACAGTGGATTGTGCACCGCTGTTCTAAAATGTCCTCTGCGTGTGTTTCTACAGAAACTTTTCCCAAGGTGAGGCAGGCCGAGTCGATGAGATCGGCTTCGAGGAGTTCCTGGTGGTCATGTCTCATTTCAGGCCCCCATCGCAGCGCATGACCGAGGAACAGCGGGAGAACGTCAGGAGAGAGAAACTGAGATGTACGTCTCAAACTGGATCGCATGAATGCGTGCTTCATGTTATTTACGGCTGAAAAGCTGGTATTAAAGTGAAATCTGTGTTTATTTCTGCAGTTTTATTCAACATGCACGACACGGACAATGACGGGACAATAACGCTTGAGGAGTACAGACATGTAAGCTTGGAAAAGACAGAAAACAAATAAAACATTCAACCAATAATACAGAAAGACTACTTCTGTCTCAAATTGACGTTTTAGTTCAGCAGCTGTTTCACTGCGTTCAGGTGGTGGAGGAGCTTCTGTCTCGCAGCGGAGCTCTGGGGAAGGAAACGGCCAAAAGCATTGCTGACGCAGCCATGTTGGAGGTGGCCAGTGTTTCAGTGGGTCACATGGTACGGTAGCTGCTGTCTCTTAAACAAAAGGCACAAAGTTTCATTCATTCATTATTTGGGGTTCACTCAGAAACCTTTTTCTTCCTGCCACTCAGGAGCCTGATGAGTTTTATGAAGGAATCACATTCGAACATTTTCTCAAGGTTGGTACACAGAATACACAACTTTACCAAATATTTTATCTATAGTGATGAGTAATAAAGACAGAAATGCTAAAAAAAAAAAACTTGTGCAAATGTCTTGAGTCATGCCTAATTTATATTTTTCTTCCAAGGGGCCAGACTTTGACGATCTTTCAATTTTTTCTTTATTTTTGTGTACTTTGGCTGCCTTTTCACTACTTTTCTTCAATATCTTCAAACTATTTTCACAGGAATGTTTTGGTTGGTTTGTTGAATCACAATATAGGCACATAAAGGCTTCTTTGCTCAATTGATGAACCAGTGGTGTCGATACATCACAGAAAACTTTAATTTTTAGGCTTTTTGTTACCAGTAACCTTGTCATGAAGACACAGGTTCAATTTCTGTGCTTTAATCAATAATAAATCCAAAAGATAACACAGTTTGACACAGAAAATAGTGTTTTGGCACAAAGAGATTCCTAATTTTCATTTACCAACTGACAGATTATGCATTTCTGAGATTCTGTATCGACCTTTGGTAAATTTATTTTAGACATAGATACTATTCATCTGCTGTGGATAATGTTTTTAGACAAAACTTCATTTTTCTGTCACTTGTTAACTTACCTCATTTTAATGCACAGAATGGTGTCATTGAAGCACAAAGACTGGACAGAAAATGAGTGAAAAAGCAGCCAAGTTTAAAGAAACCCTTTCATATTGATCAAGACTACTTTAAAAGGACATATTATGCAAAATCCCCTATTTATCCATTAAACACATTTTGCTGTGTACTTGGAGTCTCTGGGAGTGTGGAAAAGTAGAATTTAATCTCTCCGTGTGCAGATATCTTTATATTCTCTTTGGGTCATAGTTTTCAACCTGTTCAGTTTTCTTTATTCTCTATGATGTCTTCTGAACTATACGTTACAGAATTTGCTTCTTGTGAATTGCCCAATAAGATATGGACTTACCAACCATAGTTTGTTTTTTTTTCATTCTCCTCTGGCTCTGGGTCAGACTCTGGTTCCAACATGTAAGGATGGATGGACAAGTCTTCTCTTGTTGAAATCTTTTAATTGATTTGTAAATAAAATGTTTCTGTGCAGCTATATAGTCATAAACCCCTGTATCAAATTAGAATGAATCACTCTGTTGGCGGTTCAAGTGACCCAGTTGGATTTAAAGAGACATCTTCAAAACGAGCTGATCTGAGACACAGCTCAGAAAAGGGGTGAAAGAGGGTCTTGTGAAGTTACAATAAGGAGGAATTCAGACCAAAGCATTGCTATATATATA